AACCCCCTACTGGATTGGGCTGACAATGGCTGTTGAAACGTAGCATTACCTAGCTTGCTTGCTAGTTTGTTAGCACCCACATGAGGGTGAGGCTAACGTGGCTAGTCGTGTGCTGCTCTGTTAGAGGTAGTTTTTACGAGCCAATGCTAACTTGTGTGACTGCGCTAGTTAGCATTGGCTCGCAAAACTACCTCTAACTTCCTTCATACTGTACGCAGAGACATAAAATGATATCCACGAGAGAGAAAAACGAATCTCCGCAGTACACCAACCAGACTTTAAATAGAGTAACTAAGCTTAGCAATACTTTTTTATAACGGGGATAGGAGAGGATTTTTATGGGTGATTTGAAGGAGTCAGGCGCAGGAGGGTAAATCACGAATAACAGGCTTTATATCGGAATACAGAGTTACGCAGTAAAAGCGTCAAAAGGTCCAGTGCGCAACAGGCAACAAGCACACAGGGAAAAAAACCCAGCGATACAAAATACAAGGAGCTCCACCGAGCTTTCACTAACCTCACAATAACAATCCACACAAAGACAAGGGGGCAAGGGAACACTTATACAGGTACTGATGAGGGGATATGAACCAGGTGTGTGTAATAAACAGACAAAACAAATGGAATTATGAGATGAGAGCGGCAGTGGCTAGAAGTCCGGTGACGACGAACGCCGAAGCCTGCCCACTCAAGGAGGGGAGGCAGCCTCGAGGAAGTCGTGACAATGATGACCATAATACTACTCATCCTGTACGCTCCAGTGCAAATGAAAGCAGTGGTGGAAAAAGTACCCATTTGCCATACTTGAGTAAAAATAAAGATACCTTATGTCACGGTTTCGGCCGAGGCTGCTCCTCCTCCTGGTTCGGGCAGGCTTCGCGGTCGTCGTCCCCGAGTACTAGCTGCCACCGATCTATGTTTCATGTTCGTTTGGTTTTGTCTTGATGTTGTACACCTTGTCTTGTTAGTCCTCGTTAGTGTCCTATTTAGTTCTCGTTGTGTGTGTTTGTCTTTTGTGTGTGATTGCTCTTCTGTTTTAGTGTTGGAGCTACGTACTTCCCTCCAGTGTTTTGGAGAGGTTTTCCGCACATGTTAGTGCGCCGTTTTGTTTGACGCCTGGTGCGGCGTTATTTCGCCTTCGGGCTTATTGTGCTTATTTTCTACATGAATATTGCACTAAAGTCTTTTGGACTGAGCTTCTGCGTCCTGCGCTTGATTCATGCACCACACCCACCTTCAGCACCCCGTGACACCTTAATAGAAAATTACAGAAGTAAAAGTGAAAGTCACTTGGTAAATACTACTAAAGGTAAAGAGGTTTTAAATATACTTAAGTATCAAAGTAAATGTAAATTGCTAAAATATACTTAAGTATCAAAGTAAAAGTATAAATCAAATCAAATTCCTTATATTAAGCAACCCAGCAGCACGATTTGTAAAAATAAATAAAAATATGGATAGCCAGGGGCACACTCCAAACAAAGCATTTTTGTTTAGTGAGTCTGCCAGATCAGAGGCAGTAGGATGACCAGGGATGTTCTCTTGATAAGTGTGTGAATTTGACTATTTTCCTGTCCTGCTAAGCATTCAAAATGTAACGATACTTTGGTGTCAGGAAAATGTATGGAGTAAAAAATACAATTATTTCGTTAGGAATGTAGAGAAGTAAAAGTAAAAGTTGTAAACAATGTAAAGTAAATGACAGATACCCTAAAAACAACTTAAGTATACTGAACAAAAATACAAACGCAACACGCAACAATTTCAACGATTTTACTGAGTTTACAGTTCATATAAGGAAATCTGTCAATTGAAAGAAATCATTAGGCCCTAATCTATGGATTTCACATGACTGGGAATACAGATATGCATCTGTTGGTCACAGATACCTTTTTATATATATATATAGGGGTGTGGATCAGAAAACCAGTCAGTATCTGTGGAAGAACTGGGACATTTCAGCTTCCAGGAATTGTGTAGAGCTTCTTGCGACATAGGGAGGTGCATTATCATGCTGAACATGAGGTGATGGCGGCAGATGAATGGCTCAACAATGGGCCTCAGGATCACGTCACGCTATCTCTGTGCATTGAAATTGCCATCAATAAATGCAATTGTGTCCATAACTCCACTGCCACAATGGGGCACTCTGTTCACAACGTTGACATCAGCAAACTGCTCACCCACCACAATGCCATACACTTGTTTCTGCGGTTGTGAGGCCATTTGGACGTACTGCGCAAATTCTCTAAAACGACATTGGAAGTGGCTTATGGTTTGAGAAATTAACATTCAATTATCTGGCAACAGCTCTGGTGGACATCCTGCAGTCAGCATGCCAATTGCACGCTCCCTCAAACTTGACATCTGTGGCATTTTGTGTGGTACACAAACTGCAGATTTTAGAGTGGCCTTTTATTGTCCCCAGCACAAGTGCACCTGTGCAATGATCATGCCGTTTTAACCAGCTTCCTGATATGCCCACACCTGTCAGGTGGATGGATTATCTTGGCAAATGAGAAATGCTCACTACAGGGATGTAAACAAATTAGTGCACAACATTTGAGAGAAATAAGCTTTTTGTGCATATGGAAAATGTCTGGGATCTTTTATTTCAGCTCATGAAACATGGGACCAACACTTTACGTGTTGTTTTGTTTATATTTTTGTTCAGTGTAGTACTTTAAAGTATTTTTACTTAAGTAATTTACATCACTGAATGAAGCAGTACAGAGAGAGCACAAAGAGCAACAACCAAATTTCGGGCCAAATCTAATGCTTTAAAATAGGACTTCAGTCCAAACTTAAATCTGAGAGTCCTATTTGTATTACAAAGACAAGTCAATTTGCACATGCCTTAAATAGGCATAGTATCCTGAGCTTGACATGATTCAACCACAGAGACATACATTACAGTAATTCTTTCACACCTTTTTGCAATCATAGAGTTCAGTTCAGACACAAGGTGGTCCCTGGCTGAATCCATTAAGACATTTAAAACAGCCTCATAATGTTACAAAAAATCACCAGTCATTCAAATAAGACAATTTGTCCAGAAATACTTTGTGCCTTGCATAGAATGCCTTAATATTGGGCCAATTATCTTAATCTGTGCATGAAAGTGAAAGTCTAACATTTACATTACATTTACGTCATTTAGCAAGCGACTTACAAATTGGTGCATTCACCTTATGATAGCCAGTGGGACAACCACTTTACAATGTATTTTTTTAAATGATTTTTATCATTATTATATTAGTTTTTATTATTTTATAGAGTATTTCTTTTATTTTCCTTTGTTTTATATATATTATACAAAGGAAAATAAAACATATATTCTAGAAATATATATATATATATATATATATATATATATATATATACTTTTAAAAAACGTTTTTATTTATTTATTATTATTATTTATTTTTGTGGGGGTGGGGTAGGGAGGGGGATAGAAGGATTACTTTTATACTATCCCAGTATTCCTTAAAGAGGTAGGGTTTCAAGTGTCTCCGGAAGGTGGTCAGTGACTCCGCTGTCCTGGCGTCGTGAGGGAGCTTGTTCCACCATTGGGGTGCCAGAGCAGCGAACAGTTTTGACTGGGCTGAGCGGGAACTGTGCTTCCGCAGAGGTAGGTGGGACCAGCAGGCCAGAGGTGGAAGAACGCAATTGCCCTCATTTGGGTGTAGGGACTGATCAGAGCCTCAAGGTAAGGAGGTGCCGTTCCCTCACAGCTCCGTAGGCAAGCACCATGGTCTTGTAGCAGATGCAAGTTTCAACTGGAAGCCAGTGGAGTGTGCGGAGGAGCAGGGTGTGATCGTGAGAGAACTTGGGAAGGTTGAACACCAGACGGGCTGCAGCTTTCGGATGAGTTGTAGGGGTTTAATGGCACACAGCAGGGAGCCCAGCCAACAGCGAGTTGCAGTAATCCAGATAGGACCTT